CGAGGGGGATCGAACCCCTGAAGTTAGCGTCGTAAATCCGTAGACTTACCGCTGTCCCAGCGGGGGACGAATGTTTTTTTGTTTTTTTTTTTAGTTGTCATAAGAATAAAACCTTGTACTATATGGTTTGTTTGATTTAGAGCAAATCCACATTGGGCTACCTGCTGTATCCACCGCGAGGAATCGAACCTCGGATTTTAGCATTATAGGGAGACCGTACTTTACGGACTTTTATCCCCCGATATAATCTGTTACAATCTGTGTAAAATTGTCGTGTCCTAAGTTAATACACATTATCCCTAACTAATGCACAGGGAATTTATCTACGACACCCAAGTCTTAACAGTGATATTTTAAATAAAACGTTAGTTTGTTCGGTGGTAAGAGCATAAAGGGAAGCATCTGGAATATATATATATATATATGTATATGTTAAAAATTTATTTTCTTTTTCAACAGAGGTGAAATTGAAAATATAATCTGTGACCTAGAGGTCTAATACATTATTTGATTGTCTGCACCCTTTGCTCGAAACTACAGTTTCGCCTAATCAGAGCTCATCAGCACAGCTTGGATCAGCAAACCAAAGAAGTACCAGTGGGCCTATTATAACATTACTGGAACAATTTTCTTCTAAAAATTAAACACCTCCAGGCTATTTTCACAGAATCGAGTGATTTTCACTACCTTATACATTTTCTGTTCAACGTCTTAGAATCTGTACAATCTGACAAACCGGCTGTCCTCCCACTGGCTCAGTCGTAAACTCGAGCTTATAAACGCTAAAGTTCAAGATTAAATCCTCGTGGCGGCCACATCGCAGATTGCCCATTACTCGTAAAAAAACTAGCTAAATAAGAAGGTTTTCCACCATATTTATATTATGCTTGATAGATCCTGCACCTCCCCCATCCTGTGGTTCAGTAGTAAGTCCGAGAGCTTATAGTTCTAAAAATCGGGATTCGATATCAGCGGTGGTCAGAACATAGATAGCCCATTGTGTAATTGTACTCTTTAAGTAAACTAGCTAAATAAGGTTTTTCCCACCATGTTTATATTGTGCTTTATAAATCCTGCATGCCCCATCCTGTTGTTCAGTAGTAAGTCTAAGGACTTATAACGCTAAAAATCGGGATTCGATACCAGCTGTGGGCAGAGCACAGATGGCCCATTGTGTAGCTTTGTGATTAGCAAGGAACAAACCAAGGTCCTACACTATCGAAATATTTAAAAAATCATCCAATCAGAATAATTTTATTAATCACTGGATTCTTTAAAATAAAAGAGAGATAGTGAGATGAAAATGAAACTTTCAAACTTGTTACTAGTTCATTATAACACTGGTTACAGTGTTATTTTGTTTGCATTTGAATAACTGTTTCACTCAAATAGTATTTAACTTCGAACGTTTCAAGATACTTTCAATAAGATAGCAAGTATGAAAATAATTTTTCTGGCGTTGAAAACGTCAGCTAATTATATAAAAGTTCATTATTCCAAAATTAATTTTATTATTTCGTTCTTTTTTTGTTGTTGTTGTTTTTCAGTGCAAATGAAAATCAGGTTACATTAAAAACTGGCCCGGCATGGCCAGGTGGTTAAGGCGCTCGACTCGCAATCTGTGGGCCGCGAGTTCGAATCCCCGTCGCACCAAACATGCTCGCCCTTTCAGCAGTGGGGGTGTTATAATGTGACGGACAATCCCACTATTCGTTGGTAAAAGAATACCCCAAGAGCTGCCTTCCCTCTAGTCTTACACTGCTAAATTAGGAACGGCTAGCGCAGATAGCCCTCGTGAAGCTTTGAGCGAAATTCAAACCAAACCATTAAAGACTGTCCTATAAGTAACATGCCAATTTAAACAGGCACTATAAAGGCCAGATCTGGTTTTAGTGAAGCCTTCGCTCACCGCATTCTCATATTGCTTTGTCTGGCTATTGAGTTAATTAAAAGCTATATGAAAACTTTAACTAATAAGCTTAAATCGCTGTGTAACAGCTTAGAATGTGTTTCAACCGAAATCAACTATACTAACGAGCCGGGCGTGAACAAGTGGTTAGCGTGCTTGGACTGCGAATTCGAGGATTCCTGGTTCGTAGCCCGTTGCCACAAATACACGCTCCTCAAGTTTGGGCCGTAGGTACGCTATAACAGTCTCACTATACGGTCAGTAAAGAGTAGCCTAAGAGTTTGGTGGTGAGTGTTGTTGACTTTGTGCCTTCCCTATGGACTATGTTTGTTTCTTTGTTGTTAAGTACAAAGCTACACAATGTGTGCTCTGCTCACCACCGGTATCAAAACCCGGTTTCTAGCGATGTAAGTCCGCAGACATTCCTCTGTGCCACTGATGGGGGGGGGGGACTCTCTAGCCTATCAGTTTAAAAATATGGACGTTTATGCGCAGATTGCCCTTAATTTAATATAGGTTTACACGGAATTCTGAAACAAACTTTACAGCTCTACACGAAATTCTGAAACAAACTTTACAGCTTCACACGAAATTCTGAAACAAACTTCACAGCTTTACACGAAATTCTGAAACAAACTTCACAGCATTACACGAAATTCTGAAACAAACTTCACAGCTTTACACGAAATTCTGAAACAAACTTCACAGCTTTACACGAAATTCTGAAACAAACTTCACAGCTTTGTTAATAATTCGATTAATGCAAACAAACATTTTGTTCACAGCGCCATCTATTACGTATCTGTACACACACTTACCTTGGTGACTGGGTCACTGGAGCCACGATTTTTTCTTTCCACCCGAATGAAGACTTTTCTCGTGACCGTAATATCAGGATAAAACCGTAATCGTAACAATGCGCAGCGTTAGACTAAACATATTTAACACCACCCACTGGAGTTAAATTGAGAACGAATGACCAGTCCTGACCTTCAAAAATAGCACAGGAAACGATCCTTTTTACCCACCATTATCGCAAAAACCTTCAACCATTGTTTCTTCTAACTCGAGAGGACTAATTTGAGGACTACCTTGGCCGGAACCGCAATTTGGAAATAATTTATTGTGGGACTTGTCAAAAGGAGATATTCTGATATGGTGTTATCTTTCCAGCTCACAATGTATTTTTTGTAATAATGTTTGTTTCTTTGTAATTAAACACAAAACTACATGATGGGATACCTGTGCTCTACCCACCACGGGTATCGAAAACCGGTTTCAGCGTTATAAGGTCATACCGTTGTGCCACTGGGAGGTTGCAATTATAATAAAAATAATTACATAGAATATAGTCTTAAAAATTCTATGAAGTTTTCACTTTGTTTTGAATTTCGTGCAAAGCTACACGAGGGCTATCTTCGCTAGCCGTTCCTAATTTAGCATTGAAAGACTAGGAGGTGAAGGCAGCTAGTCATCACCCTCCCCCCTCCCGTAAACTCTTGGGCTACTCTTTTACCAACGAATAGTGGAACTGGCCGTCACATTACAACGGCTGAAAGGGCGAGCATGTTTGGTGTGACGGGGATTCGAACTCGCGACCCTCAGATTGCGAGTCAAACCACTAACCACCTGGCCATGCCGGGGCCCAAATTTTCAGTTTAAGTAACTTTATCGCCGACGGTCAATTTCTGAATATTTATAATAGCCTCAGCTCATTATGATATTTTTAGTATAAAGTTTTAAAAAATGGTTATAATTGGTCAATAAAGTTGTGCTTGTCAAAAAACAAACAATGACCACATCCGCCTCATGCGTGAGACCCAAAGATGTATCGCTGAAATTGATAGATATAAAACAAACAAACTTGAATTACATATGATAATTATCTATTATATAACACGACGATGTAGTTTCGAAAGAGAGAACATTGAGGCTATCCATCTATCTATCGTTTTGTAATCTTTTCTTTGTTTCAGAACTAAATAAAGATGGCGCAAATGAATGCGATGAAGATGCAGTCGTTATTGCTACTGATTCTATTTTTCGGAGTGAGTATTTATTTGTGAACTAATGAGAGTGTATCTGTGTTTGTTTTTTTACAATTTTATTTTAAAGGAGAGTAGGTCTATTAATAATTATACAAATCTACCAATAGATGGCGAAACTGTAGAAACTAGATACGTTCCAACCTATAAATAATTTAACAATTTTATTAACTTATTAACATTTTTCAATAAACCTTAAACGTTCAAACAAATCAAAAGAAAATATGATTTAATGATTTTCATAAAAAAATTTTCCAGAAAAAGAACCTATGTGTAGTGTGTATTTATTTCATGTTAAGTCTTCCTTAAGGTTATGTTTTCAATTTGAAAGTAAATAATTTTTTTCCCGATAAAAGCATCAGTTACAGAATAAATTTTTTAATTTAGAAAGTTTGTACCAGTATTTTCAACTGATATATTATATTCATGTTATTATCATTTTAACAAGAGAGACTTAACTACCACTGGAATTATTATTATTATTTAATTAACCTCGTTATGTCTCAGGAAGAGCTGCAGTTACATACCCTTAATAAATATTCATTGTATGAATTTTTTTGCTTGAAGCATTTTAATTACTTCTCATGCTGACCTGGATCACTTTGAGATCAAAGTGTAAGGTCACGGTGTTTTACTAAAATACTCAGGGAAAGCTTGTGAATATATAAATAGCACAACTGCATACAAGTAGGTCGAGAGGATGTCGACCAGTGTTTCTCAGTAGGTGGGCCGCAGCCCACCAGTGAGCCGCAAAAAGGCTTAAGATTAGATGAAGATATATTAAAAAATGATGCAAAACAGAAAAACGTATAATGGAAATTATATAATACCTCACAAAATGCTAGCCAAAAATTAATGTTACGCGCATGAAACCAGCATATAAACTATGAAACAACATTACCACACGTGTTATACTTTTATAATTTTCTGTGGGGAGCCGCGGGTAGTTACTCGAAGTTTATGTAAGCCGTGTTACTAGAAAGGCTGAGAAACGCTGATACAGAGCATAATACAATAACCATTGACTTGTACTTTTCTGTTTTCAGTCCGCGTGGGCGCGCAACTCCCGAAGATTACAGGCTAGAGAATCTCAAGTTAAACTTGACCGCTTCTTATCGGCAGTAGCGCAACGACGAGGTGGCGTATCAAGTAGACAGGTTAGCAGAGGTCAAGTGGAACCTGCGACTGCAGCCCAGACTCCTGTTGGTGATACACAGTTTCTTCCTCAGTCACCCACGGGCCGGATGGCTCAGATTGTTAACATTGAAGTCCAATGTCAGAAAGAATCGATGAGCATTAGAATTGAATTTAGCCTCCCATTCAATGGCATCATTTACTCTAAAGGTTTTTACAGGTAGGTATATGTATGTCACTATTCAAATCAAAGTATGAAAAAACTAGAAAGATATATGTTGCCTTGTAACTAAACATATCTCTAATCTCGTTGCTAAACATGATCACTTTACCCTAAACATATCTCTAATCTCGTTGCTAAACATGATCACTTTATCCTAAACATATCTCTAATCTCGTTGCTAAACATGATCACTTTACCCTAAACATATCTCTAATCTCGTTGCTAAACATGATCACTTTACCCTAAACATATCTCTAATCTCGTTGCTAAACATGATCATTTAACCCTAAACATATCTCTAATCTTGTTACTAAACATAAAGATCACTTTACCCATAAACATATCTCTGATCTTGTTACTAAACATAAAGTCCACTTAACCCTAAACATATCTTTAATCTTGTTACTAAACATAAAGTCCACTTTACCCT